GAAAATGGTATTTTTCACTAGGAGAGGAAAGCTGAAAAGAATACCGGAAAAGCCTATGAAAGTCGAAGAGGCAATAAGTACAATCGCGTCGTTATGTAGGTGGAGATACAATAAACGATGGAAACGACAACGGTCAATTACAGAATTATCGGAATCAGGGCTAACGCACTGCTGGTCCGCGGATCCTCACAACGACCCCTGAGTAACGACGCGGCATCTAACTGCCTGTACAAGCTGACAGCCCTTAAAAAATCTTGCTGGTAGAGCAATTTGCGCTTACTCGTACCCTAGGCAAAAGTTACCTGTCATAGCGTTAATTAACAGATGCCTGGGTAGCCATATAATGCGTTGTCATTTTCTTGCTGTGTGAGTCGCCAATCGTGCAGTTGGGACGTAGACCGTATATACGTTGTCAGCAGAAAATACTTCGGCAACACTGACCCACCATAATCGAATACTAATTAGGTACAGGTTTAACAATACCTCTTGCTCGACTTACTCAGACTAGTCACTGTCAGGGAACCGTTCATCACCAGGGGGTTCATGTTGATTTAAATGCAAGTGTCCGCACCCAGCAAATCACGGGGACTCGGTTAGTTTGTGGGAACTAGCCGTAAAGTTCCACAACATTTGCCCCGGGTGCACTTTAATGAATACAGCGGGCTTATTTTGAAAGGACCTGAAGACCAATTTGCAGCAATCCTATGCAACAATAAAGGAGTATTTCCGTAGTTACTTGAGGTTATTTAATCCGAATTTAACTTTTGCAAATAAGGCGACACATTTTTAACCCGCTTTTGTTTCACCAGTTGATGCTAGGGCAGGAATTGCACAACGGCAAAACACTAATCGTAGTAGTCACGCCATAGTAGTACCCCCTAGCTGTTTTTTTCTGGAATTAAACGCAAAGCAACCTGAAGGTTTCTCGTCCCGTGTCCTGTCCCTACCATCTGCTGGCAAAAAGCACGCAAATTTCAGCACCCACGCTGTCCGGCCAAACCTCCGACCTCCGGCCAACTTCCTAAAATAGTCCCTCCGGCAGTGAAACCTCTGAAAGTGTGACAAGCAAGCTTTTTTCAGGCTAGAACCCTCCCTTCCTCCACAACCACCTTCGCGCCTACTTTCTGCTGACAACGTGTGCGCGTTAGTGGACTACGCCCCAACTGCAAGACTAGCAACTCACGCAACCAGAAAAGGACAATGCAACGCATGGCCACCCGGGGGTCTGTTAATTAACCCGCTACGACAGGCAACCTTTGTCCGGGGTATACGGGTGGGCGCAAATTGCGCCACCAGCAAGACTTTTTAATAGCCGTCAGGTTGTACAGGCGCGTAGATGCATCGTTGTTACTCGAGGATGATTGTGAAGCCGCCGATGGATTGATGAGCAACCAAGTGTTATAAAAGATCACGCCACATTAGCTGAGGCATTTTTTGTCTCAGTGTCGACCAAACAACAACAGAAGTTGCGACAGCTGTGAGGCAAACGCCCTGTGAATACTAGTCGTTTGAGTGTCTTCCAAGAAACGCAGAAGGAAGAAGTGAAATGAATCGAAGGATGGCATTTTCTTTTTACATGCCAGCCGTAGGAAAAAATAGAAAAGAATAACTGACCGGTGGTATTATACAAATACACACGCACAGCTCTGACGAGTTGTCCATGCCCGAAATCTAGCATAAGTACACACAGAGTAAGGCAGCAAAACTGTTCGCGTCCGTCTAGACTGTGAGTCGGGAAAGGAGGTCAAAGCAGGTTGTTCCGTATCCGTGAGCCAGCTGGCCGGGAACGAGACTTCCAGACGGTGATACCATATTTTCCACCAAGTCTTTAACAAACAAAGGAAGGAGGGTGACGAGGTCATTAGCGTTTAAGCAAAAGCAATTAGTTAAAAAATTCAGAACAAACAAAGGATCATGAATTAGAGGGAGAGACACAAAGAAACAAAACAGGTGAGTCTTCGTTGTTGGGTGTAAGCAGGGAGAGGGGTTCAAACCCGCTCGGCAACAGTCTCTGTGCAAACTGCCTCTACGAGACAAATAGTCTTAAAGACGTACCGGCAGGGAATAGGCGTGTTAAACGGTAAGACGCGGAATAATGAATGAAGAAGTAGAACAGCAGGCAGAAGGCGGTGGGCTATGTGTGTGTTTAAATGCATGAACACAATGACTTGAAGTCCACATAAACTGCCTGCTCTCCATAAAAATTTAACAAACATACTGTGGTTTGATTTTACAAACCATAATGTAGGGGGGAGGGGGGGTAAATTAAAACTGTCTGCTGGGAAAAATGATCAGCTTATGTACATTTCTTGTAGGACGAAGAAAATGAGCTCACCGTTTATTTTCCCAAGTTACTTGAAAGGCATTCAAGCCGAACTGGTATAGGGCAAAGAAACACTACTACAAAATTAGCACGGATACCTCAACTAGTCATGACTAAAACACCTAAAGCAATCGGTGCAGTCGTCCAGGGATGTAACGCTAGACTACTACGAGACAACTGTGGGTAAGGAGAACGTACATGGTCCCCTAAAAAGGAAGTGGGAATAGGAACGCCTCGCCCAAGTAATAAAGACGGATCGGCGCATAATTCTGGGAAGGACAGATGTCCCTGAGTTCTAACTCTATCCTTATTGCTAACATAAACTTAAATCGTAGCCTTAGTCTTAACCCTAGTCCTACAGTTAACACTAACCCTGATTCTATCCCTGGTCACAGGCTTCACCCTAACGGTAAACCTAACAACGGCCTTTAACGCACACCTTTCTGCATTACAAGTGGTTCCTGTTCTGGTGGCCTGTTTCAGGGGGTTATCGCTATCCAAATGCGAAATACATCAACCGCGTCAGGAGAAACTTCCATGTTGTTAGGACGCTTGTCGACCGGTGGAATTGACCTCGCTTTCTGCAGCCGCGGGAACGCAAGCACCTTTGAGCCGGCCAATGACGACTTGTTGCATGCGCCCTTCGCCTACAATCGTGATTGTAACTTGGCGGTCGCTGATTGGCTGATACATGGCAGGGTTTGGACACAAAACTCTGCATTCGAGTCCGCTTGCCTCCTGGGGCCAGTTGTGTCAAGTAGGGCTGTCTGGTACATTTTTTTCTGTCTGACTTTAAGTTCGAGAATCCTACGCAACAGAAGCACATCGTATAATGATGATTAGATACTTAGATAGATACCTAAGCACGAATACTAACTGCAGTGCATACTGAGATTTTTGGCGGCATAGTAAAATGGCCGAACACGTGTAAACAACAGTTGAAGGCAGGCTGCGACGATAGTCGTGAGCGAGACATGTTATCAGAACAAGGACATGCGCGATGGTTATCCGAGGTGCATAAACAATTACCATCCTGTATAATAGTCTTCAGGACGCCAGTCGCAGTTTCAAAGGTGACACGCTGCATGGGCGAGGGGTGGAAGTCCATAGTGCGACGATTGAAGGCTCGGTAGACGCCAGTTTTGGTCAGATAATCCGTCACAAGGCCCAAATGACGCGGATTTACGTAAATGCCATAGTGTCCAAAGACACCGGAAACCTCGCGCTGTAGGCAGGCTCGAGCTGCCTCAATGCCGTAATGCTGCTGCATCACTGTCACGTGGTTGGTGTAAAGTTTGTTTAGGGCGAAAACATCTGGATAGCGCATTAGCTCCTGAAAAAAAATGGGAGAAAAACAAATAGGAACTTATATGACAATTGTTTGCTTTCATGAAGAGTACTCGACTCCACTCAAGAAGCACCAACGGGGTACTGTTGTTATGCAGAATTCAGCCGAGGAAAAAGAAAAAATTTCAGTCAAAACCATGACGACGTCTACATCGATTTCTCACCAATCTAAATGAATAGTAAGCAGGACGGGTTGGTCTAACATTTGGAGGAGCAAACTGACACGTTTTTTTTTTCGCTAAAGCCAAACGGGATAACAACCAGGAATACGATAATGGCACGCTGAATTGTTTTCTGCCTACTTCTAAACCATAAAACGCAGTCCAGAGTAGGGCCATCATCGACTTGTTGGAAGAAATTGGACACAAAATAACTAACATTGGAAGGCCACGGTGGCATGAAAAGGTCTAAAAGTTTGTGAACCAGTACAATAACAAAGAATTTTTATAAAAGGGGATCAGTGCGCTTTGGTTCGGAGTGGCGGGAAT